GAAAAGAGAGAAAAATTATAGCCACTTTAGAGGCCGAATCGGCCCAACTTAAAGAGTTTAAGGGCCGATATATAAGATCCTAAGGGCCAACTTAAAGAGCCTAAAGGCTGATATATAAGAGCCTAAGAGCCAACTTAAAAGAGCCTAAGGGCCAAAAACATATAGAGTTCGAGACCTCGTTCTCGCTCAACTTGGACCCAAGAGTCCCATTGTTCCGAGCTCGCGTGAAATTGATTTAAGCTTAGCTCGAGGATGATCTAAAACCTTAAGAGGCATTATATTGATTAATAAAAACCTAAGGGTTTATTATGTTCTAAGTTCAAACCGATACTCGGACTGATCATTTAAGTTGTACAATTGAATTTTCCACAAACAAGGACAAAATGAGATTCAACACAAAGCCAAAGCTGAAACAAAGAGGTCCTTTTGTATTTACAAGAGATGATTACAAAAGATACTTACACAAGGGGTACTTGCACAAAAACACGAAACAAAGAAACTTAAATCTTCTCCGAGGTTACATCTTCGGCAGCTACACCTTCGGGAGCTTCACCCTCGGGAACCTCCCCCTCGTGAACTTCATCCTCGTCTTCGCCGCTCTCGGAGCCACTGGCTAAATCCTCGTCATCAAAAAGAAAAGCGACAGCCTTTTCTTCCAAAGTCTTTGCTTTTTCAATATCGACTGAGAAATCGAAGCCATGAGCATGCACCTCTTCAAGGGTTTCTCTCCGGGACTGACGCCTGGCATGATCAAGTGCACATGATAGCTTAGCTTCGGCCACAACGGAGATCTCCTTTGCTCGGGTGTTGCCTGCTTTAGTGTCAGCTCAGTACGAAGATATAAATGCCTCTGCCTCGAATTTAGCCTTGGCAAGCTCAGCAGCAGATTTAGCTTCAAGCTCTTCAATTTTGCAGCTTCGAGCTAGGCTTTCCTCCTTTACACTTTGAAGCTGGCATTCAATTAAATCTAGCTGCTCCCAAAGAGTATCTTTCTCAGAGGCGAGACAATCCATACCTTGTCTCTACCTAAGGGTTTCGGCCTCCTTCATCTTGACCTCCTCCCGAAGCTGCTCCACCAACTCGCCCTTCTGCTGGAACTGCAAAATTGAAGTGTTATTTATCAAAATAAACAAGTACATAGCATACCCTCAAAGGCTATATTACCTTTTCAATGAGCTCGGTCTGTTCTAGACGAGCCTTCGTCAATTCAACTCGGAGATCACTGATCTCCCCCTCTTTTTTTGACATAAAGGATCTTAAGGTTATCCCTCTCCTCCACGAGCTTCTTAAGTTCAGCTTCACATCGGGCAAGCTCGGTCTAACATTTGGTGAATGCTCGTCAGTGAAGCGACACGGCCTTCTCACAAGGAAAAGAAGTCAGGTTTAGAAAGATAAAGGTTAAACTCGAATTAAGGGAAAACAAGAATTACTTGTTTGAGAAGCTTTTCGGCCTCCACAAGAATAAACGAGGCATCATGATCGGGACCTTCTTAGATCCCCGCAAGACACTCCCGAAAAATATCGTTCCCTTCATGAGTCATTGCCATATCGGGAGTTCCCATGTCCTGGGCATCTTGGAATTGCCCTTCAGAGAACACTGGGCCCTGTGGCGAGTCATCTATGTTGATTACCCCAAGTGATTCACTTGCGATATTATCCTTTCCTTGAAGAGCCTCGGAGTTAGGCTCTTCGAGCTCATCCACCAAACGTCCCTGGGACAAGGCACACTTTTTCTACCTAATGGCTCGGGGACTTTGCTCAAGTTCCCCTCTGAAATTTCGTCGGTCCGAGATTGAACCGCCTCCGTCGCCGTCAGTTTAGCGGCCTTCGGAGCGTCAGTGCTTTCTCTTTCCCGAGCTACCAACAGGTAGTCATCATCTTCTTCCTCTTCCTCCTGATCCCAAAGGCGTTGGGTCGTTTCTGGAGATAAGGCCACAATATCGGTCTTAGGCTTTCGAGTCTTGCTCTTCTTTGGCTTCGGGGAGTTTGCAGGCGATCCCCTCTTTCTTTTCTTTTCCTTGGAAGGCTTTGAGGTCTCTTCTTCACCAGGTGGGAGTGTCCACATAGAAATGGCGTCTTTGAGGCCTGTATAAAGATAAAATGAGTATTTCGCTAAGAAACGCAAGTATGCAAACAAGAAGACTCACCGTGTTTTTTTGCCTCCCATCAACCTTTGGCCAAATCACTCCAGTTGCGCTCTGCGTATGAAGAAGTAGAGGCCAATTTTTGGACCTAACCCTCGAGGTCCAGAACCGCACCAGGAAACCAAGCAACAATTGCACCGTCGAAAAAAAGTTAAGTCGAGAAAGAGTAAGAAAAGCGGAATATAAAGTCACTATCGATGAGCCTGTACTCACGTTTCATGTTCCATTCCTCGGGGAATGGCATCTTCTCAGCGGGAATCAGGTCGGTGGTCCTGATTCGGACAAACCGGCTCATCCATCCTTGGTCTTTGTCCTCATCGATGCTGGAGAAAAGAGACTTTGTGGATCGGCATTGCAGCTTTATCAAGTCACCTCGATATAGACGAGGGTCGTATAGCCTGATCAGATGGTCGAGGGTAAAAGGCATCCCCTCGACCTGGTTCGAGAAATATCTGATCAAATTGACGATGCGCCAGAATGAAGGATAGATCTGGCCAAGCGTCACCTGGTATTGTTGGAAAAAATAAAGAATAACTGGATCTACGGGACCCAGAGATAGATCCGTAGGACCCAGCGTGAACGGGTAGGTATACACGCTTAAGTACCCCGCTTTGTGAGTAGTAATGTCCTCTTCAGGGGAAGGGATCACTACGTCTTTGTTCTCCCAGTTGCAGTCCTTTTTCACCTGCTCGAGCTCATCATTAATTACCAAACAGATGTATCAGGACAGAGGCTCGCATCGGCCGGGTGTCGATGCAAGTTTATTGATCTTAAAATCGGATATTATTTCACATGGCGGAGGAATACACTCCTCGATGCGAGGTGGTACCACCGGTTTACTTCTGGACAGACATGATGACAAAGAGGCTTTTTCTTTTTGAGGAACAATTTTAGATGTTTTAGTCATTATGGTTTAGATATTCAAGTGAAGAGGAAAGGATGATAATGGAATAAGAACAGATTGAGAGAAGGGTGATCTCAGGAAAGTTGAAGGAGTTAATGAGATTTTGAGAATGAATTGAGAAGTAAAGTTTGCAAAATTGTGAAGTTGACCTATTTATAAAGGCTACTTAAGCGTATTGGGGAAGCCAATAGCCGACCATCAGCCGCCTCTAATTAATGACCTTGGAAACTTGCAGACGCGACCTTTCAATCACTTCAGATGTTAACATCACGAGGTTGGCATCATGATCGAGATATCGAAGGGCCGAGAATCAAATCGTTTCTTATCATTTTATTCTACGAAATGCGGGGACTATCTGTATGCGGTCAAAACCATATGCCCCTGATTTATAGGCTCGAGGGCGAGGTCGAGTTCGAGCCCGATAGACCAGACTCTAGCTCGGAGACAGAATGCAATGCCCGGAGATAGGAGTATGAGGAAAACCGAAGCCGAGTATGTTCGACCCCGAAATAGTACCGTTATATATTTATAATAGAATGAGCTGATTCTTGCCACGTCCCCAAGATCATGGCACAAATCCCGGAATATGATTGTATGATTCTGTACTAGGCGGTTAGACAGTTGTATCAAGAATATTCCTTACTGTAAATAGAAATATACCTTATTTAGGGTTCCCCTATTATATAAAGGGAACCCCAATAATTTGTAACATCATCTAATCATTGAGAAAAGAATATACTCTCTACTTTTTGCTTACTGTTCATCAGAATTGTCCTTTAGCTCTACTGCTCTTGCTTTACCTTTCTTGCTTAATCGTTGTTATTGTCCTAAACCTACCTCGAAGTCACTAAGCTCGAGGTCACCACTACTGAGTTACATTGATTTGATTCACTTATTTCTTTCATTTTTACTTCATATTTCTTGATTATTAATTGATATTGAACTAAATTTCATATCTTTAAAACCACAAATCAAATTTCATTGTTACTCATATTTTCGAGGTAAGCAGAACTAATGAAAAAGGATGGTCAATGACTGAATGTACCATAATAACTATCCTTGTTCTAAGTATTAGCATTGTTAATCAAGATTCTCCGCAGCTCATGGATCTCATTATTTGTGTCGTTGGTGAACCATGTGGTGGGAAGAAGTTAAAGGACATATCGTACTAATTTAACATCGTACTTCTTCGTTGTCATCATGATAATGTCATCGTCGTGGTAAAGTTATTTAAATTGAAGTAGCACGTGCATAATTTAAACGGCAGCCATTTGCGCTCAATATTCTATCTTATATCCTTTACGTTTTACTCTGAAAATTTTGGAATACTAAAACCTAGTGAAACTGTGCTTTATCAACGCCAAAAACTCAGTTTACGATATAAAGCAAGTTGGACAATCTAACAATATTGAGGAGTTCATTACTCAAATGGTCACTCAGCTATCTCAAATTATCTCTTAAAGTCACTTTATTTTCATTTGTAACAACAAAGTCACTAAACTATGACTATTGCACTCAGAAGATCACTAAATTAGATTTTCCAAATTTTGGATTGTCAAATACCTATTTTACCCTCTAAATTATAAACATTTATCTTCTTTTTATTTTTTTAAAACTTTTTAATATTATGATTTTCTCTTTTTAATTTATATTATGGACTTACCTATAGAATAAATAATATTATTTATAAATTAAAAAAATAGAAACTATTTAAGCATATATAATGTTGGAATAGCAAAATAATGAGCATACTAAAAAATTTAATTAGAATAATTTGTTAATAAGAATTTTAGTATTAACAACAAAAATTCAAAATTTATTACACAATTCAGAATGAAAGAAAATAAAGGTCGTAAAATATATATTTCATGCACGTAATATAAAAATAATTATTTAAATAAAAGTATTTTGATAATATACATTATATATTCTTGAGAATTATGCTCAATTATATTATTATGACAATCTAACAATATTCAGCCTAACTCAAAATAATGGCATACAGCACAACAAACTTAAAGAGTCTCTAGCAACCAATTCCAAATTGGTTTTGATCTAAAAGGCTACAGCATCAAATAAAATATGGATATCTTACTATATGAGAAGTCATTGTGAAAACAAAAACGGTTTATTTCTATTATTTCTTCTTCTTTGAACTTCTAAAAACTCTCTGATTCTTGATTTTCGCTCCAGTGGGCAATTCTCATTTCTCCCTATCATAAATAATCTAAACAGAATAAATTAGCTGGATAAGTTGCACATATACATGAGGGGTTACTCTGCACCTCTGATACAATTGAAGTGTCGACAGCACCTGAATCTTTCTTCTTTTTTTTCCTTGGATCGGTGAGAGAGCATCCGTTTTGGAACATTTTAGTATGGCTTCATAAAAGGATTCTGAGAAATAACTTCAGATTGGTGGAATCCTTGAAATTTCTACCAATATCTTGTGTAGGGCTTGGGGCTTGGAGAAGAAAGGTGAATGATCAGCACCCTTGAGCTGAAAAACTCGTTCCGGAGGATTTTGGTTAATCATGCTCTGTTGTAAAGCTATTGGTATAGCATTATCTTCTGTTGTTTCTACGTAAAACCGTCTGATGGAACCATACTTGATGTTTGACAGGGGAAGCTTCTCAAGAACTGGGGAAAATGGAATTGGCCTCATTGAGACAGAAGCCAAAGCAACATCCTGAAAATTTCAAGAAGTTAGTATAAAAAGCTTTGAATATGCACAAAAAGGAAGATTCCACACAGGTATCTGACATTGATTTTGTTATTTAACACACAGCTACTAGACAGGATGAATGTTATAAGCTAGTTCCAGCAACAAATAACTGAATTTCTCTATCATCCTCCTAATAAACTAGCATCATTAGCACTAAGGTTAGAGCATTAATGGATAACTTAAAAACATCTGCTGGGATTTAGCAATTCATATCAAGGTATGTAAACACCATTTGTACAAGAATCAGATGACATATAATTTCCTCTTAGGATGTTTACATTGTCTACGGAGGACTAGGAACCCTACTCAAGTACAATGACACACCCCAGTGTCTGCTGCCTATAGATTCACCATCTCAAGGCTATCGAAATATGCCTCAAAATCAATGTGTTACTAATTCATATGTAAAACTTTTTGGCAACACTCATCCTCCCAAATCTCAATGTACAAAATTCTATCTTGACCACCTTCGAGATTAAAAGGAAAAAGTTTGAAAGAAGTATTATACTTGAATAAGAGAAATACTTTCAGTGCACATTTAGAGAAATAATTAAGATCCAAGAATGAAAAATATACAGCAAGAAGGTAAAAAGGAAGAGTACATAAAGGGGGTCTTATTTCACTATTTCCTTTTCTTCTTTTTTCCCATATTTGCTTTTCTCTCTTCTTTTCACACCATCCAAACTAAACATTAAAATTTGCCACTTTATGAAAGTAACATTTAATTTGTGATCAACAGTTTCATACAGGATAACATACCTTAGCAGGACTATGGTTGAATAGTAAGTCCCTCAGGAGTGATTTGTCCAGATCAATGGCAGTTGGTGGTTTATCATTCCCATTGGCGTAGATAAATACTTGAGACTGTCTCATAAGATCATTTGAATTCGTCTGCAATAATTTTGATCTTCTTATTAACAATAAATAAACTTCTATTCTCTAATGAAACAACTAGCTAAAAGCATCTGACCCACACATTCAAGGGAGGAAACAGAACTAGAGAATTGTAGTCCTATTGGGTGGAATGACATTATGCTAGTGGAATTGGAAAGGTAAGAGATCCTCCAGATGATAATCAAAGTTTCAGGCACTTGTTGAGTCACCTCATCCTCAACCCAATCCCTTTAACTCATGAAAGACTGGACAAGTTGGTGGAGGAGAGACCCCTTCAATATCACCCTCTCTCTTATTCCTTCCCTCTCCAAAGAACGCGTGAGGTTCATCTACTTGCAATTCAGTGGTTAATCCAAATCCTTTTCCCGATGTCAAAAATACTTTTTCTCCAAGAGATGAACACAAAGGTAACTCACAAGTTTACCGCACAAGCTACAGCTGGTTCCTGGGGAACTGAATTGCAAGTAGATGAACCTCACGCGTTCACTATAAGCAGATAATGTACATCAAGGGTTCTCATGATGAACAGAAAATACATTAAAGATTTCACAAGACAAAAACTGCGAAGCCTAAAAACAGATGGATGGCATAAAATCCTGACAAAAAATGAAATTCGATTTTTTCATGTATTCTTCATCACTAGAGAACTGCTGAGTTCTAACACATTTCAAAACAAGGTTGTAACCTGGAGAAGGTGAAATTTACTTCATAAGTAGGAGACCAACACTCAACTGATTGCAACTTATCATCCAGAGGATTAGTGAAATCAGTATTCTATAAATTAGTTCCGCTAATCTACGCCCATGTACTTTAGAAATACATTCCCCAATTCTCAAAATAAAACCAAACTAAACTTCTTACAAGGACTCCGCACAAAACAAACTATGAGCAGGGCTTAAGAGTCGCTTTGCATATGCAGTCCATGCATAACAACTATGATTAGGGCTGAGAGTTTCTAAACCATATAAGGACAATGTGTTTAAATAAAACAAAATAGATTTTATATAACCTTACAAGAAGAAGACAGATGATGTAGATTTTGTAAGAATCAAATGAAAGCAGTAAATAAAAGTATGAAAATATACCTTATCTGAGAAAATATCAAGGGCACTTTGTCCACTAATGAGCATGGTGGCAGCAACAAATATCGCTTTTGAAACTTTAGAGGGATAGAGCTCCATTGCGAATGATATGCATGCACCACCAAAATCATGTCCCACCAAAATCACCTACAGTGTGAAAAAAGATTCACAATATTGTAATGGACTAGCTAAGGAAAACAGATATCAGAAATTCTGGAATTTGTCCTGGTAGTAAATTTGGGGATCTGAAGAATTGGCAGATTTCAGCATTTAATCTCCAAGTATGACAAATGTACAGATCCAAGCACCACTTTTTTTTATCAACTTTGCCATTCTACATAAAGCAAGCCATTAGTCTTATGTAAGAACTAGCATTCTCTTCTGTCTTCCTTAAAAATTCGTTGTTCACTATTAGTTTTTCATTGTTTTATTTCAATACTGATCAACGATAAAGAAAAATGTAACCCTTCATATCAGGTGTCACAGGCAAAACTTTGAAATGCAAAGGAAGATGCTCATCGAAGATGCTAAAGTTCTTATGAACACATTAACCAGTAAAACTCCTGAATCTGGAAGAATATCTTTTTTCAAATCTTCAGTGTCGAGTATTATTACGAGTATTATACTCTCGTAAGAATGGAAGACAATATGATAGAAACATCAGAAGCAGAGAATCAGAAATGCCGAAGTACTAACCTTCTTTCCATCAGCGAGAGTTTCAAGAAAATCAGTGAGTGGCTTTGCATATTGCGATAGGCTGGTGATGCTATTTGTGTCAAAAGAATGAATGCCTGAACCAGTTAAATCCACTGCAGTCACCTTAAATCCAGCCTCCTCTAAAAGTGCAATGGTTTTATACCAACACCAGGCTCCAAATCCACCACCATGGACAAGGACAAAATGGTTTGTCTCTAAATCATCAATGGTTAATTCCTGCCCATTATATACAGCCATCCATTTAGCATGAAAGTGGAAGATCAAATATAGACACAGCCACAAGCAAAACGCATTGTTTCATTACTGTTAGAGCAGAACTGAGACCTCTTTACTTATCTGTCAAAAGCCTGAATAAGCAAACGAAAAGAAGCTACATTTCAGAAATAACAAGGAAGTATCAGTCTATACGTTCCATTAATAGCCAAATGAGGGCAATCTACTGTACTATACTCAAGCAGAAAAGTTAGCTACACTGTCCAGTTCTGCAGGTTTGATTCTCCGCACCTTGCCTTCTGGTGTGGAATTCTCAAGGTCTCAACAATTTCAAACCCTCAATTCATTAATCGAATTCTAATCAATTTACCTCAAATAGAACTTCTCTACTAGGATTTGCAGTTCATCAGGCAGATGTGCATCAAAAATTGAAAACATGCGGATTGACAGGTTATAAGTGTCCCATCTCGGCTATAAAAGGGAATCCGAAGAGGTTTATAAAAAATGACTTATCAAAAAGAGGTTTATATATGTCAAAAAGAGGTTTATATATGTACTCTACCTATTATCTTGAGGTTTGGGTTGAATACCCGAATTCTTTACAGCTTCCAGTTTTGAGCAAGTATCTCAATTCTAAATTAGTTAATGAAGACAAGCAAGCCTTACAAAACCACGAATAAATCGATGGTACACAACGAACACAACAAAGCAAATCAACCAAATGCNTTGGGTAAAGAGTAAAATTCATTTTAAAATTGACGGAGGATGAAAATGATGATGTAATGGTTGAATACTTAGTTTAATAGAGAAAACATCACATCAAAACTTAAAATTTGAATAATTTGATTAACTTGAATTTAATTAAGTACCTTGTTAACAAGCTGGTGAGGCTGAAGCAGAGCGAGCGATACATGTCTGTTTGGAAGACTTCCAAGATACTGCTCCTCCACCAACAGTAAACATGTATCCACTTGTGGACTTTGTTTCTGATGAGCCGGTTATCCAATTAGCATCACTATATCCTTCAATAACCGCAGGATAGTTATTGTAGTGCAAAGCGCAGTCTTGGGTATACTCCAAATATCCTAGAACTCGTTTCATAGCCACCCAATGATGCTTGTTGGGATTACTTGTGAATCGACTAAGTTTACTTATTGCACAAGCTATATCAGGTCGGGTACAGTTCATGATGTACATTAGACTTCCCAACACACGAGCATACTCCAATTGAGACGTACTTTCGCCTTTATTCTTCATAAGATGATGGTTTAAGTCAATTGGAGTCCTTGCACTTCTAAATTCCAAGTGTTTGAATTTTTCAAGTACCATTTTCACGTAATGTGATTGAGACAAAGCTAGACCTTGAGGAGTCCTCTGGATTTTAATTCCTAGAATTACATCGGCAACTCCTAAGTCTTTCATATCAAACTTACTAGCAAGCATACGCTTAGTAGCTTGAATGTCGGCAATGTCTTTGCTCATTATTAGCATATCATCAACATATAAGCAAACAATGACTACATGATTTTGAACATTCTTAATGTAAACACACCACATTCATTAATCTTAAAACCATTTGACAACATTGTTTGGTCAAATTTCGCATGCCATTGTTTGGGTGCTTGTTTTAATCCATAAAGAGACTTAACAAGTCTACACACCTTCTTTTCTTTTCCCGGAACCACAAACCCTTCAGGTTGGTTCATGTAAATTTCTTCCTCAAGATCACCATTTAAGAAGGCTGTTTTTACATCCATTTGATGGATTTGAAGACCATACAAGGCGGCTAACGCTATTAGCATCCGAATAGATGTAATTCTTGTTACCGGCGAGTATGTGTCAAAATAGTCAAGACCTTCTCGTTGTCTAAATCCTTTGACAACAAGTCTTGCCTTGTATTTGTCAATAGTACCATCGTCCTTCATTTTCTTCTTGAAAATCCATTTAGAACCCAACGTTTTGTTACCCGGAGGAAGATCAACCAATTCCCAGGTATGGTTGCTCAATATGGATTCTATTTCACTATTGACAGCTTCTTTCCAATATTGTGCTTCTGAGGAAGACATTGCTTCCTTGAAGGTACGAGGCTCATTTTCTAACAGAAAAGTCAGAAAATCTGGACCGAATGAAGTAGATATCCTTCGACGTTTACTTCTTCTTGGATTTTCTTCATTAGACATACCATCTGTTATTTCCTCCCTAGGTCGTTTTGACTTTTGGCAGGTCACTTCACTTTCCTTTTTATACGGATAAATAGTTTCAAA